TTAAATCATTTTAAATTATTAAAAAAATAATCAATTACTTATATCGGTTAAAGCCTTAGAACTTAGCCGCGTTCTGATTGTGATATTTCAACTAATCACATGTTCGCGTTTCGACAGCGCTGCAAACGTAACCAACAAAGTCAGTCGACTGCTTGCTATCGTCGAGTGAACGCCTCGTGCGTCAATAAATCGTCGTGGGTTAGTAAATAGTGCGCGTGTTTCTTTCCTCGACTGAGTTTTCAATCGACGAATAATTAATCGACACGGATTGATAATTATTAACTATAACTTAATACATTCGGTATTAATGTCAGTCGACTGCTTGCTATCGTCGAGTGAACGGGTCGCGTGTTAATAAACCGCCGTGTATTTCTTTCTTCGTGTGATTTTTCAGTGGATGGATAATTAATCGTCAGTGATTGTAAAGTACGTAATAGTACGGATATTAAGTAAATACATTAGAAGACTTCTCGTAATTTCTTCAAGTGAATAATTTGTATGTGAAATATTGAAGTGACACCGCGGTTTGTAAAAAAAAAAGAATTATCTAATTATTTGATCTGTGTCAGTATTTGATAACTTGTGACGTTTGCATTAAAACTATTGAAAATTTATTAAAACCCTGGCGAAAATTTTTCTCAGAATTCTTCATCTAATTGTTCAGAATTTTTCATATATTAAATTTATGAAAATTTTCTTCATAAATACCTCAAAATTTTTCAGATTTGTTAAGTTTTCTTCAGAATTATAGAATGAGAAATCTTAGAATATATCAGAACTGAACTTTTTCAGATTTTTTAGTTTTTTTTTCAGATATTATAGAATGAGAAATCTTATAATATATTAGAACTAAACTTTTTCAGATTTTTTAAGTTTTTTTCAGATATTATAGAATGAGAAGTCTTAGAATACATCAGAACTGAACTTTTTAAGATTTTTTTAAGTTTTTTTCAGATATTACAGAACGAGAAATCTTTGAATACAACAGAATGAAACTTTTTCAGATTATTTAAGTTTTTTTCAAATATTATAGAATGTGAAATCTTAAATTACATTAGAACTAAACTTTTTCAGATTTTTTTAAGTTTTTTTTTCAGATATTATAGAATGTGAAATCTTTAAATATTGAATTCACATATATAAAAATTATTAAAAAAATGTAAATTTTTTCATATCTTCATATTTTATTCATAACGGAATTAAAAAATATATTCCAACAAATTTTTATAAAACAAAAGAAAAATATAAATTCTTATATGACAAAAATTTTCCTTAAAATTATTTTTTATATTATATTATGCAAAAAATAATAAACTATTATTATACTCAAAATTAAATAATAGCAAATGATTAAAAATCTTATACATTACAATTTCTAATTTTTATTTTTAATATTTTATTTTTTACTATATAAATACATATTTAATGTTAACTGGTGTAAATTAATTAATTATAATTGGAATATATGACTATATTAAAAAGTTATTAACTAAAAAACTATTATTTCTAATGTAAAAATAAATAAATAATTATCGAATTATGAGTATAAAATAATTATTTTATTCCAAAAAATACGTATATACATATGTTAGCAGACCTTTCTTTTATTTTCTTAAATATTTTAGCATTGTTAGCGTATACCCAGTGAGAAGGCTGATGTCGAATCGACGTCGTTTCGATGTCGATGTCATCGAAAACTCATCGAATCGAAATTGACATCGAAAATCAGGCCATTTCGATCAAATTGTTTTGACATCAAGAAATACTTGTTTCCAAGTTACCAATGTCCAAAACCCAAAATTAGTCTAAAATTAAAAGTTAATTATGCATATATACCCAGTGAGAAATAATTGGTCGAAAAGACGTCGAATCGACATCGAATCGACCCAAAGAACAGAAAAGTCAAAATAATATCAATTTGACGTCAAATTGACCGAATTTACGTCATTTTTTACATTATAAAATCTAGATTTCTAATCTAGATTA